CCCTCATTCTCTTTCCTTTTCGCTTACTTTCCCCATCTCTCTCTGTCTATCTCTCTCCTCTTCCTCCCTCTCTCTTTCTCTCTCCATCTATCTCTCTCTCTCTCTCTCTCTCTCGTGCGCTCTCCGGGTGGCAGGCTCTACAGCGTTTACCAGCCTCACCGTGGAGTAGGTGCTCGCCATCTAAGTGATCTTGTCTTGATTAAATAAGATGCCGCGCTCGCCCGCCTGCGCGCGCGCGCGTGCGTGTGGCTGTGTGCGCGCGCGCGTGTGGAAGTGAGCGGCCACCAGCACACGCAGGCGCAGCAATGTAAATTTGACGAATCGATTTTTCGGACATCTGGGGTCTTGAGCGCCTAGAATGGGCCCTCGCGCGAAGTGCATTGATCCATTGTGGGTTTCATGCTGGACGCTGCGCACGGGTAATGTGTGGCTGAAGGGGTGGTAGGCACCGCAAATGAGCTATGAGTGTGCGTGCGGGCAGGAGGGGGGGTGCAGTCGGTAAGAGCGGGCTGTGAACAGAGAGGCAGCTAAGTACAGCTGTGTGTGTGTGAGGGAGGGAATGTACAGGAGAGGCTGTATATATCAGGGAATAGCTAGGAGGGGCTGTATATGTGTGATGGGACACCTAGGCCATGCAAGCTGATGAATGCAGTTGTGGTGGGGTGGGGTGGGGATGGATCACTGAGAAGCTTACATAAGCCTAAGATAGAGCTGCATATGTATCAGAAGTAGACAATAGGGATTAATTTCCTATTATCTACTTCTGATATGTATGTAAGTAGCCGCGGTGGAAGAACTTATTTGTGTTGGGGAATAGCTAGAAGAAGCTATTTCTGTGAGGAGACAGGTGGAAGCTACTAGTTAGAGGGAATAGCTAGGAAGCACTATACGTGTGTAGGGAGGGAGATTAACTACTAACGTCCAGAAAAGGGTGCGTGGCTATCAGTAAACATTGTAAATAAATGATCTAAGATAGTCTTTCTGTGGAAAGATGGGGAGGCCTCATACGGATTACAATTAACATGGCCGTAATTTAGGATATATCGCTTACAGTAAGAACCCGGGATTTTCTGTTTCAGGCTGAAGTGGTTCTTATATATATATGATACATAGTGAGAAATCAGCCTGAAGAGGTTCTTAAAGAGGTTCTTTATTTTTTTTTGGGGGGGGGGGATATTGTGTACATTATCTAGGTAAAATTGCCTTTAGTTAGTGAATAATTGACACTAATTAATTAACCAACTGCATAATATTAGAAATTATATGTTTGTTTAAATTCATTTGAGTTAATTTATTTATCACCTTTAATTTACTTATCATATTAAACACAATGAAAGGTTAAATGCTGTGAAAATTGATTTGACTAATAGTAGACAGTCACAGTTACAGGCAATAATTCATTGTCAGCATAACTGCATCACAGTAACATAACACAGCTTAATTTTCGGTATTTTTTTCATATAAGAACCTGCTTAATTTATCAGGCTGAAGTGGTTCTTATATACTAGGTGCTTTATTGGTCCAATTTCAGCCTGGAGGTTCTTAATCCGCATGCAGTTTCTTTCATGCGGGTGTTTACTGTATTGCAAGAAGGTTGAATTGTGTATTGTGCGTTGTGTATTGTGCATTGTGCATCGTTAATTGTGTATTGTATATTATTTATTGAATATTATTTATTGTGTATCGCTCATCGTGTATTATTTATTTTGTACATTGTGGCGCGTGAGTGATGTATGGAGATGATAGGGAAGGGAGGCAAGAAACAGTGCACACGGGATGGAAAGTGGATATATAAATATATAATATATATATATATAT